AGGTTCCCAATGGTCTGTCTCTGAGGGTGGGTGCTGGCAGTGGCCCAGGCTCATTGGCCCAGCAACGTGGGCTCCTGAAACCACCCACAGACTGGCTCACACACTTGCTCGCACACCCATCCCCAAAAGTCTGGGTTTTGTCAGGAAACGGTTTAATTAGCAGCATGGAGGCTTGAAGGGTTCACACTGCGTTATGCAGGCTCTCTCGCCTCCTTCCCTTCTCACCTGCCACGTGGGTGCTGTGCTGCGGTGGTGCCAAGCCTGGGGGCCAGAGCGAGAGAGAAGGGGGCAGGGTGGGGCCGTCTCGTCTAGTCTCACAATGTAGAAGGGAGGAGCTGGTACCTCCAGCACACCCCCTCAGAGGACTTCCGGCTGCCCCTGCCCATGGCACATAGAACCCACACCTGTAGTGTTCACAGGAGGACTCAGCCACCCTCCAGTGAGGAAGAGAAAGGGGAGGGAACCCACTCAGTCCCCAGGCTTGTCTTTGGGGAGGCATCCGAGTCAGCCCCTTCCCCTCAACCCACTGCTCCCTATCCCCCGGCCCAGGCCACCACCCCTGCTCCTGGGGACACTGTCCTAGCCTCCCCTCCCAGCTACCCCAGCACCCTCCAATTCTCCACATGGCAGCCAGTGTGATCTTTCTAAATTGCAGACCTGGTCATGCCCCTCTCTGCCCGGCACCCTCGCTGGCTCCCCACTGCCCTCAGTATGAAGACAGGCCCCTCAGCAAGGCATTCAAAACTCCCTCCAAGGCCAGAATCCCATCTCTCACTTAAGCTCATATCACTGCCTTCCACTAACTCAGAGCTTTGGGTCACCAGCCTTCTCACCTCAGTAAACCTTCCCACCTCTGAGCCTTTGCATACGCTGTTCCCTCAGCCTGAAATGCCCTTCTTGCCCCACTCCCTACTGTGCTGACCCTGTTACAGGAACAGTCCACATTCCCAAATGGAAAAGCTCTCCCTATTATCCTGTCCCCCAGCCCTCTGTCACCCAGAGAGAGGGAACATGGCTGTGACAGCCCTCAGGTCCATGGTAGCACAAGAGGAGTGACCCACGCACTGCAGGGGGGGAGAAGGAACAGGCCCTGTGGATGGCCATCCTGGTGGGAGGCAGTCAGCAGCCACCGAACAAACTACAGGTTTGAGTCACAAAGAGCCTTTTCATCTATAAAGGTCAGATACAGATGCTGACCTCAGCCTGGAAGTCTAAAATGAAAGAAAACCCCGGGTCTCCTAGCTCTCGCCAGCTTTGACCGGCTTACAATGATCTAAACTCTGCCCTCTTTGCCTAGGGAGGGGGCGGGCGTGGTGTTCATTTAAAATGCCACTTGGCTAAGTCACCAGCCATAAAGCCCACCAGGTTTCCAGCAGCATACCCCAGGCGTCTGATTAATGACACAGACATAAAAATCCGTCCTAAGAGCCATAGGTTGAAATGAAGCAGGAGAGCTAATTGCTAATATAGAAAATAATATCAGTGAGGAGTGATCTTTCAGTCAGCTAGGAATTGACACGAGAAGCGTTTCCACTGCGAGGGGAGCTCTGAGGTCCCAAGGTGGGGCAGTGGCTCTAGAAGATGGACAGGTGTCCAGGGGAAACCGGCCACACCTGCCCCATGCTAGCTTGCCACTGAGCTCACATGTGACTATCACGACATGGGAGTCTGGAGGACCCCTGAACCACAGCACAGGGTCACCTTCTCCAGGAAGCCCCCTGTGATCCATACGGTCCCCAAGCCTGGGCCTTTTGCTCCCATAATGCCCTGTGTGTCTCACACTGTGGCCCTTTGCAAACCAGTGGCCTCTCCACTGGACCGTGGGCTCCTGAAGGACAGGGGCTCTTCTTTAGATGAATGGAGAGATGGATAGACGGACGGAAAGATGGACAGGTAGATGGATGGATGGAGAGGTGGATGGAGGGAGATAGGAGGAATGAATGGATGGATGACTGCATCAGAGGGCCTCAGGAGAAACCCAAGGTTTCTCTGTGCAGTGGGCCCAGGGGCCACCTTATGTTTGGTTGACGGTGTGTTTCTGTTGTGCTAAGACTTGGCGATGTGCAGGGAGAAGGGAACGGGCCTGCAGTCGAGGCTCTGGCTGTCATGTAGGTCATACAACCTTGGATAAGTCCCCCCTTTCTCAGTGTCACTGCACCTGCACAGTGGGGATGGTCCTTCCTGCTCTGCCAGCCATGGTGGGTTGTTCCAAGGCTCAGGGGAGATGGCAAAGCAGAAATGACCTGGAAAAGGATAAAGCACATTGTCCCTTTGTAAATGGCGTATATGTCTGGGTAGATCTGTCCCAAATGCAGAGCGGTGTAGAGATGTGGGATTGTGCACTTGGCTTTCTTTCCCCCCTTTCAAATTTCTTTTAATACGGTTATGATGTTGTTATTTATAACAAAAAGTAAAACCGTGTAAGCATCTCAAGCAGTTACAAATGGAAGCTTTTATTATGTTGACCCAAAAAAATGGTTCTCTGGCACCCAAACACAAAGGCCAGACCTGGAGCCTGTGGGAACGGGAAAAGGCGAGGTGAGGTCGGAGTGGGCAGAGGCTGTCTTGTGGGGAGAGTGCCCACAAGCTGGCCAGAGAGGCGGGGGCCAAAGAGGGGCCCCCGGTTACTGAGCCCTTGGGACCCCACATGTTCATTTTGTCCTTGGCCAGCTTGACCAACCACATAGAAAGTCCACATGCCACCACTACCTTCATTTGCACTGTGTGGCTTTGGCTTACTCGATCCAATCGCGTGCCTACCGGGGACTCGATGGCTCTGATGGTAGGTGTTTGCCAAGAGGGCGAATTTACATATTCATTCCTGGACCCAGTGAGTGCAGGAGGCTACTACCAGTCATCATTACGCACCCACATGTGGAAAGAGCTCACACCTCCAAGCACTGCCCAGCGGGGTGACCTTGGCATAAAAAACACACTCTAGTGGATGCCCGAGAGGCAGCCACTCACCCAACGCAGAAACACTCGAGGAGTCCAGTAGCCTCAGTGGGGTCTGGGGCATGCAGTGGGCCTGGGGTTCCCAGGAGGCTTTGCAGAACCACAGGGAAGGCAGCGGCAGCAGTGGAGGGGGAGCAGGGCAGCAGGGAAGGCAGACCCAGGATGAACAAAGCTGGACTAGCCAGAGCCTCGCTTGGACCCTTGGTTTTCTAAATGAAGAAGCAGAGCGGGTTCACTGAGTGCATTTAAGCACCTACTATGTGGACGGCACTGAGCCAGGTGCTGTCTCAGTGATCAGCCTCAGTCAAGCAGATGCAGCCCCTTCCTTGAACCAGGGAGATAGTTCTTTTGAAGATACTGTCACTGCTGTCGTGGTTTGTGTGACCACACACACAGGGAGTAGGGCAACCCAATACAGGAGGTGAGCAGTGATGTTGGATACATTCTTGCAGGAGGGGAACAGCTTGGGGTAGGACCCAGTGGGCTCCAGCTCGGGGTGTTGGGGAAGTGACAGGATACAAGGCCAGTAGATCGGGCAGGGCCAGGCCTTGTGAGGCCTTGGAGGCTGCCATAGGCGCGCTGCCCTGAGCCTGAGGGCTGTGGGAAGGGCCTGATGCCAGCAGGATGAAGCTGCCTTCCTACAATCATAATTTCGAAAGCAGAACTCAGGTGGTCTCTCTCTGTCTTGGGGGACCAGCGGCCATGCCTGGCTGCAGCCTCTGGGCTCCGAGGACACTGCTGCCTCCGACCCCACCCCCCGGCGGTATAAAACAATTTCCTCGCCCCAGCCAGGGAGGCAGATGACCTCATTGGACTCTTTCCATCTCTCGTTTTCATAGAGAAATTACAATTTATAATTGGATGAAATTCCACGGGTGTAATGGCAATAAGAGCCCATGCTGGAGCCCAGCATCACCCCTCATGTGGGGACTCTGTCCATATCCTCCCTGCTGTCCACCCCCCACCCTGCCTCCTCTCAGGGGGCCGTACACCACCTGCCTGCCCACACCTCGACTGTTTACCAGGCCCTGGCCATTCTGGACTGATGTCCCCTGGGGCTTGCCGGTTCTTAAACCTCCCTGCCCCTGGGGAAGCTTATCCCAAGACCTCCCCCTATCTGTCAACCGCATCGGCCTCAGCCTGCACTCCACCTGCCCCTCTTCCTGGATGCACTCCCCACCAGGCTGGGCACCCAGTGGGCCGTGAGCCCCCAGTCTGGGTTCTGGCCTTATTAAAACATGCACCCTAAAAATCCTTGATTTGATTTTGGAACAGTCCCAGACAACAAGCATTTCTCAAACCAGCCACCTTCAGCCCTACAAAGAAAAGTGCCCAGATGCAGCTGAGCCCATCTGGATCCGATTTCAAACCAGAGCTGACACTTTCAGATGTGTAATGAAAGCCCTTTTCCAAAGAGGGGCTCCTGCAGGGGGAATACGGACACCGGGACACGGGGCCCTCAACCTGCCGCACTAATGAGAGGCAACGGAGGGCTCTAGGCAGTCAACAGCCAGCCCTGCCCCCCGGGTCTCTGTGGGACGGCAGCTGTGGGTGTGGAGCGCTGACCCGACTTGGGGTTACAGGAGGGAGGGAGGGACACAACTTCCCCGGTTCCCTGATGCTCCTGCTCCCCATGGAGGGGAAAGGCAGTGCTTGTTCTGGAAGCCGAGGCCACGGTGGCCCAGTTGGATCTTTTGAATGACATTAGCAAGAGGAGCAGGTGCTGTGGGAAGCAGAGCCAGCTCTGGGCTGGCGGGCGGCCCCTGCAGGGCCAGGAGCTCTCAGAACTTCCTTTTTCTGTTCCCAGTCCTCCCACCCCCAGGAAAAGGAGAAGCAGGGCACTGCGAGGAAGGGGGCTGTGCATGGCCAGCTGTTTGTTATCTGGGTTTGAAAAGAGAAAGAAGGTGGCTGAGAGAAATCTCAGCCCCCTCCGAGCTCGTGGGAAGGTGGCGTTCAAGAGGCAGGTTCCAGGGAATAGGAGGAGAGGGGCTGCAGCCCTGGCTGCCGATAACCAGGAGCTTAATCACTTGTATTGTTTTTGACAGGTGAGGAGGCAGGCAGTGGGGGAAAAGGACTCCTTTTTGGACAGACAAGACCAGGGGCTGAGGCAGGAATAACCTGCCTTCCCCCTTCCCGCCCCGGCAACAAAACCTCTCTACAAACAGGAGCAGCCAAGCGGGACTGAGCCCCTACCACCCCCACCCCAAGCATCTTCCCAAAGAGGGGCCTGTGGGGCCTGACAGCTCGGCGGCGCATGTCAGCAGCTCAGCCCCGCGGTGAACATCTGAACTCCTCAGCGGGTAATGGACCCCCCGTTCCCCCCGGAGACATAGCCTGAGTGGCAGGAATACCGATTCTTTGGAGAGCAGCTCCCTCTCAGCTGTGTCACACAAGAACACTCTCTGTACCACAGCCCATTCTGCCAAGTGATTTAAAGGGATTAAAGAAAAAAAAAAAGAAACTTGGTAAAGAAAAGGGGGCAAAAGCCACGCAGAAGCCTTTCGGAAGAGGGGGTGGCGGCCAGCAGACAAAAGGGTGAAAGTTCAAAGGGGGCAGCGAGCGGCCAGCCTCCCGGGATGGGCGCCAGGCCATAGGGCATGCCTGGGGAGCGGAGGCCCAGAACGCACTCGGGCCGTGCACAGAAGTCCCGGGGCTGCAGGGGGGCGCCTCTGCAGGCCCCTCACTTGGGGGCAGAGGCCAGCAGTGCCCACGGCCTGGGGCGAGGAGGAAGCTGCTCCACAAACACAGCCAAGTCTGACTGCAAGGAGCCCAGCAGAGCCAAGCACAGGGTCTCCCACCTGCACCCCGGGGCATCCCCGGCGCCTCCCAGCACCCCAGGTCTGCGGTCTGCACCCAGAGTGCCAGGGCCACGAGCCGGAATGTGAGCACGGTCCAGGCCCCCCTGGACCTGAGCACAGCATCCAGAGCAGTGGCCTCAGCCAGACCCAGCAGGCTCCAGGGCTGCAGTGAAGGAGGTAAGGTGGCTGGGAAAGGGCTCCAGGGGCCAGGAAGGCCCAGGGGCTCCTTGTGCCCAGAGAGGGCATACATAGCTTGAGACGGCTGGGCCTGCCCTCTTCCCGGGCTGGGTGGCACTGGGGCCTCACGGAGATCCCCAGGTCTGCAGCTCCATCTCCACACGTGAAGTTCAGGCAGCGAGAGGCTTCTGCTTGCCAGGGGAGGGGTCATTTGCTACCTGGTGGCCCCATGCTTCTGGGCTATACTCCAGGGTGGATGGTCCCAGAGTTTAAGGGAGTGGCCTTTCACGGAGTAAACTGCTGCACCCCCACCCATCCTGCAGGCTCCTGTTGTCCTTGGAGGAAGGTCTCACTTGAAGTTATGCCTAAAGGGGTCAGCAATGAGGTCTTAGGGAGGCAGGACCTTTGGTGACCTCAGCCCTGGCCAGGAGAACTCAGAGTAGGGTTGATCCAAAGCCACCATCCAAGGCCCTGCTCCTGTCAGCCTTGGGCATCATCTGTTCTGGCTTCCAGGTCAGCCCTTTTATTGCCCAGAGAAGGGCAGGGAGTGCCCTAAGGTCACACGGCAGGCAGTGAGTGCCCCCTCCTAGTCAACATTGAAGGAACTGCCAGGGCTAGGCCCAGTGAGGGGCAGGGTCCTGCCTGGGGGCAAGGCCCAGTTCTCGGGCTCCCCAGAAGCCCGGAGGGAAGGCTTGAGCCTCCCCAAACACAAATCCCAGGCAACCGGGAGTGGAGGCAGTACCCTGGGCCAGGCAGGGGAGCCCCAATTCATTACCAAGATGGAAAATGACACTTCCCTGTGCGCTTCCCCAGGAGGGGGGCTGATTTATGGCTGCACCCGGGCTGGGACGTTCGTCAGCGCGGCCCAGCATGGATGCGTCTGCAGGGCACTAATAGCGTGTTATTAGCCACCGGCGTGAAAGATGCCCTGCGGATGGGCTATTTGCCGTTATTTATTAGAAAGGTGCCAGCCTGGCAGCAGGGCCCCTGCCCGTCAGCCTCTCCGCCTGCCTGTTACTTGTCCTTACTCTCCTCTAAGCCCCTAGAAGAGGTTGAAATGGTCATTCCTGGGACTGAGGCCATGCCAGAGGGAGTCGCCAGTTATGGTCCCCAGGCTTATACCCGAAACATTTATGGAAAATCTACTCAGTGGCCAGCTGTGCCTCAGAATTGGGCTGTGGGGCCAGTCAGATGTGGGTTGGCGCCCTGGCCCCCCAGTTGTGAGAGGTGTGACCTTGGGCACGTCCCTTCCCCACCCTGAGTGTGCTCCCCTCTGTGCCCTGGGGTCACAGGCTCCACAGGGCAGTGGCCAGCTGGAAAGGACAAGAGTTTGTGAAGGGCCCAGCATACAGCAGGCACTCTGGCTGGGCAGCTACATGGGACCTGATCCCATAGGGTCAGAGGGGCTGCAGACCCACTGGTGGGGGAGACAGCCCAGCCCCCACAAGACCTGCTTCAATCGGACACTGTCCATCACTTCCCATGCCAACCTCAGGAAAGGGTTTGAGAGTTCAGTGCCAAGGCCAGAGGAGGTGGGCAGGGAGAGGGCTGTCTGTGCCTGCTGGGAGTTCTCTATGCCCTGGACCTGTCCTTCCCTGCTCTGGGCCTTGATTTTTTTCCCTCCTTTATGAAAAGGAGACAATCTCTGAGATCCTCTCCCTCTATGATACCAGGACCCTGTGCAGGTTCCACCCTGTGCATTTCTGTGGGGGCGGGAGGGAAGGGACATCTCTAAGAAAGTGGGGCCAGCCTCTGACAACTTGAGGCGGGCCTGCAGTTGGGCCGTGCAGGGTTGGCCACCCCATATCAGAGGAGATGGGTGAAGACAGCAGGGGTCCTCCCTGGCTTTGCTCCCTCCTGGGCAGCTGAGAGGATCAGGTAAGAGCACTGGACAGCGAGCCCCAGGTCTGGGTTTGTGTCCAGCTCCTGCAGCACACGCTCTGTAATTCACACCAGTCCCTTTGCCTCTCTGGGCCGCCATGGTGAGGGCACCAGGCTTACTGTTACCTCCAGGGTAGGGTTGAAGGAAGGACACCTTCCCTCTTTTCTCCTGATGTCCAGTCCTGAGTTTCAGATTCGGGAGCCTCCCTCTTGGCGTCCCCATTCATTCATTCATTCATTCATTCATTCATTCATTCATAAAACAGATGTTTATGAGTACCTCCTGGGCCAGGCTCCATGCTGGGCCCATCAACAAGATAGAACATATTGTGACTCACAGGACTTTACAGTCTAGAGGGAAGGGCTGGACAGTTGACGTGTGATAAATAAATAGGGGGTTTTTCCCCAGGAGCAGGGCCTGCTTGTGGAGGATGCCACCCAGCATCAGGTGGCCCCACCCCCACCCAGCTCCAAGCCTGTGCTTCATTATAGGTATGTATTTCCAAGGGCCGGCCGAGTGGCTCAGTTGGTTAAGAGCTCGCTCAAGAGTTTGAGCTCTGAGCAACAGCGGTTCGAGTCCCGGCCCGAGCTGAGCTGCGGCTGAGCTGCCAACAGGTGGCAGGATGGCTCAGCTAAAAACAATAAAATGAAAAAATAAGTACGCATTTCCATGCCCAGTCTTTCCAGGTCACCCTGCTCTCTCGGCCCCTGGCTGCCAGGAGCCCAGCAGCACCGATCTTGGGGACCCCTGCCTGCCCTGTTCTATGGAGCTGTCACCAGCCCAGCAAACAGTGCCCTTTTTCCTCCGAGCCCCCAGAACAAAGATCCTCAGGCCTGTCTCCTACCTTCTGAAACTCCCCAGCCTCTCCTTTCTCCTTCCCAACAAGAATTAAGCCTCAGCCTAGGCAGCTTTACTAAAAATGGCACACAGACTAACGGAAATATCAGGTGCAGGAACATCTTATTAAATAATACGTGGAGAGAAAGACACAAAATTACACGTGTCTCCTCTCATGCCCCCCCATCTCCTCCTGGCCCTGAACAGTTTAATGTTGAACACTATTATCAATATAATTAACCTCCTAAGACCTGATTTTAAAGTCTTGGTTTTTAAGGTGATTTGAATTCTCTGAAGTTCAGGACATCTGGGCACCAGGCACCACCCAGGCGGCCCACGCAGGAAGGTAAACTCGAAGTACATGTTCAGTGGATTTGCATACTTGCCTGCAATTACTGCCAGTGATAACTGCTGATGCATAATGCATACAGCATGAAATTAGAAAAATAATTAACTTTAGGTTTTAAAAGAAGCCCCACCCCCACCCCCCATGCATTACAAGTTCTCAATGGCACCAGTAGACAGACCGGGGGCGGAGTTGTGTAGCAGGGTTAGAAGGGCCTGAGGGCTGTGGCTTCCAGCCCCCAGCATGTTGCTCTCACTCTGACAGCCCCAGCTCAGTGGGATCTGGGGAGGATACCAGGGCAGAGCGCCAGAGGCCCAGGGTCTCCAACAGGGAGGTGCCTCTATCCAGCTGGCAGATATTTATAGATGTTACTTAGCACCTACTACCACCAGTCAAGTGGGTGTGGGAGCAGAGCCAGGCATGGACTCAGCCTTGTGGAGGGTCAGGGAAAGCTTCATGGAGGGGACGTCCAAGCTGAGGCCTGGGGAGGAGTAGAAGCTGGCCTGGTGAGGCCCAAACAGGGGAGGGTATGTTGGTGTCCAAGGAGTGGGTACAGCGTGTGCAAAGGCCCAGAGGGAGCACTAGGGAACGTGGGGCCTCAGGAACCAGGGGTGGGCTATGTCTCAGAGTTCCAGGGGGCCCAACCCACTCACATCCCCACCCTGGGCCCCGATGCCCCGATGAGGGAGGGGCTGGAACAGGCTAGGGTCACAAAGGAGGGGCCTGGTGCTGGTGGCCCAGATGTAGGGTCAGTGCTTCCACCCTAGCTTAGGGGGAGGGGATGCACAGTGTGAGGTGGGGAGGACCCAGCATCACAGCCATGGACAAGGAGTCCTGCCAGGAAGCAGCAGGGCCTACAGGCTCCCAGTCTACCCTGGAGGCACAGCAAGGGCAGGGGAGTGAAGAAAGGGCCATGGGGAACAGGGGAAAGAGGCAAGCAGGTAACACGGAAGCTAGACCAATGTGCCTAGAGAAGTTGGAGAATTACAGTAGCTTTTAAACCTCACGCATATGTTACATACAGGTTGCACTTAAAAAGGGGTACTTCACACATATTATTTCATTGAATCCTAAGTAGCAAGTTCCTCTGTAAGGGGAATTACTGTGACCACATTTGTAGATGGGGAAACTGAAGCTCAGAAAGGGCAAGAAACTTGCTCAAGATCACACAGCCTGGAAGTGGCAGAGGCAGGACTCAAACCCAGGTTTCTCTGGCCTGTAAGATGGCGGGAGCTGGCGACTAATGAAGAATGCCAAGAATGATGCCCCAGGTACCCCCTCGGCTAACGGGGGTCGGGATACCTCCAATCTGAGCCATCTCACTGCTCCCCACCCCCACTCCCCCATGGCACACCAAGGGTCCTGCTGTCAGTCATGGAGCTGGTGGGTCACCATGGAGCTGACACCATGCTGAAGTCTGTAGGATCCGTGCAACAAGTGATCCTGTAAAAGACGGGCAATTTACCAGGTTTAATTTGACAGCCACATAAACCATCAAACACACAACAAGAGAATAAAACAGCTGCCTGGCACCCGGGCAATTAATGGGCTCCTTCCTCCCCAGCCCAGGCCCCGCCTTGCTTTTCCGGAGCCAGAGGGCTCAGCATTGGCGGCCTTGAGGAAGGGGCGGCAGGGGAGACTTGAGCCAAGATGGATGAGACCCACAGACAGAGGAACGGAAAGGCCTTGGGTCCCTGCCTCCCAAGTGCTTCTTGGTTATCCATCAGGCATCTCTGAAAGGTGCAATTTACACTCTATTATGATGCCAGGGCCTCTAGAAGCTGAGGGCTGTGGCCGTGAGCTGAGCGGGCACCGGGAGCTGACGTCCATGCCAGAGAAGGCAGTGGCTGGCCTTGCCTTTGGCCTTAACAAGTCTGCCCCCTGCTCAGGGCACTGGCCCAGAAAGGCTGAGCTCAGGGGCCACCCACGTCTTAGTGCCAGGACTCAGTGTTGACAGACCCGGGAGGGTGTGCCTCTGGCCTTTTGCTGCAGGTGCAGGCAGAGGCTCTCCTGGGCTTGGACTTGACCCCTTTGGGCAGGCCTGCGCCTTTCTGTCCAGCACCTGCCCTGGCCCTGACTCTCTGCTCATAAGACAGGACCTCCAGGCTCTATAACCTTTGTGGTTCTGACTCTGTGCAGAGGAAGGGGCAGAGAGATGTGCAGCTGGATACCTGGGCTAGCTGTGACTGGACAGGCCCCTCACCTCTCTGAGCCATAGACTGCTCAGCTGTAAAATGGGACGGAGGGCCTGTGTCTACGTGACAGGCGGGCACAGGTTCAAACATGTACCTGTGAAGGGGGTGGTGGGTGAGGCCTGGCTGGAGGGGTCCCCCTCATACCTGGGTTCATTCCTGTCCTCTGAAGGCCAGCACACCCAGGTCTGCGCGACCATCCCCTGCTTCGAGCCTGTCTGCCCTTCCCAATCTCACATATAATGAGAGGTGGGGGAGTCAGTGGTCAGATAAAGACCAGGCAGCCTGGAATGCTCACATTCCACCTGGATCTTACAAGGTGACTCTCGATGCCACTGAGGGCAGGGAGGGGCTAGCCCGGCTAGTATGGTGCAAGGCTCTGGATGGGAGATGAACAGAGAGGAACGGCCAGGGGGCCTGGTCAGGGAAACAAAGAGGACACCCCAATCCACAGAGAGCCGGGAACTTAGTGTGCAGGAAGCAAAGACCAACTCCACATTCCGAGGGACGGGTATGAATGGGGTCAGGACCCCTGGCCTGGGCTCCGAGGCAGCAGGCAAATGTCCTCAGCCCCTCAGGCCAGCGTGTGCTGGTGGGAGGGGGCTTGAGCTGGCTTCAGGGACCCAGAGTGTTGGGCTCAGCCTCATCAGCCCCCTTCCCCTGGTTTCCCCTTCTGGGTCCAGGCGCAGACCCAAAAACCCTTCCCTCTGGCCCTCACTTGCCTCTAGCCAGGTATCCTTGGACAGCCCCCGACCTGCCTTGGGTCTACCTCATGGACAAAGCTTTGTGCTGCAAACAGGCCCTGAGCAAGGTTAGGGCGTTAGCCATGAGCAAAGCCTGCACTCTTTAGAAGACCTTGGTGTTTCGGGCTGGGCAAGGCCCCTGCAAATGCAAACGGAACGTGAGTGTGGGAGCAAGCGGGTGCTCCCGCTTTCCCAGTTCCTTCTGTGCTTGGGTGGTCACTGATGCCAAGCCACACCAGGCCAACACGACCCATGGTCCCCACCCTCTGGCACTGGAAATGTACAGGGACATTGTACATTTGTACAGGAAATGTACAGGCACAGGGACATTAAAATACCAGTCACCAAACAGTGCGACCTGCAGCCCACAGACATGTGGCGAGCATTGTGAGCCTGGAAGTCAAGATTCTGGCCTAGGTTCCTCCTCACCGCCTCTCAGTGGTCTTGAGTAAGTTCGCATCTCCGAGCTTCAGTTTTCTCATCTGTTAATTGGGAATAAGAAGGGTTCTGACTTTATGTTTGCCAGGAGGACTAAATGACCTAAGTATTCATAAAGCTCTAGGCAGGGTCTTTATGTAATCGTGTGAACTCCTGTCCCAAGAGAATGGAATGCAAAGTGGCTAGAGCATAAGTTGGCTCACGGCAGGCGCTCAATAAAGGTCTGTTGGATGGCTAGATGGACGAGTGAGTGGAGGATGGCTGGATGGCAGATGGCTGGATGGACAGGTGAGTGGGTGGATGGACGGAGCAAAAGGAAGCTCTGTCTGGCATCAGGAAACCTAGCAAAGGAAGGGGACATTTAAGCCTCATCCTGAAGGGTGAAGAGCAGTTTTGCTAGATTGGGAGGAACAGTCCTAGGAGAGAGAGAGAGAGAGAGAGAGAGAGAGAGAGAGAGAGGAGAGAGGGAGAGAGTTGGGGAGGGAGAGGGAGAGGGAGAGAGGAGAGAGAGAGAAGAAAGAAAGGTTGACATGGTTGAGAAATGGAGATGCTTGGCCCCTCGGGCATGAGAGTGAGGCCCCCATTGACTCCTCTGGCAAGCAGTCCCGATTCTGCTCTGCACACCAGGGCTGCCCTCCAGGCGGGGACCTTGGCTCAGACTCCAAGAGGCCATTGTGTCCCAACACTGGAAAGCCTTCGTGAATCTAGAGTTATACAGCAGAACTTTGCCGGCTGCATGAAGACACCTTCCCCACTGAGGTTGAAAGATCATTTCTCTTTAATTGATTTTTTTACCACTATGAACAGTAAAATAATATGAGAAAAATCTATGCTGCAATTTTTCTATTTGTGAAAACTGAAATTACACCTGCAGGCAATTCCCTCAGAGCATGGACCCCTCCCTCCTTTTATTTGTCTCATTTCTTAAAATGCAAGAAAACAGATACACGTATTTTTCAAAATAGCTGAAAGTTTCATGATTTGAGAAAGAGGCAAGGTGTGGAATAATTTCCCACACAACACGGAATAGAGAGCTAGGGAGAGCACCTTTGATAAAAAAAAAAAGAGATTTCTGTAAATACACGAGAAAGCAGTTCTGTTGACACCTTCTTCTGTCTATAAAATGCACGAGTGACAAACAGGACATGTTTTAACACCAGACAATGAAGCTCCCCGCTCTCCACTGCTCACCAGTGATGATGCTGGCAGCTTCTTTTTCGCAGGTTCTAGTGATCCCCCCACTTCTTTTCAGCTCGCAGGCCTCCCATAAGCAACCCTTCCCTTCAAACCCTGGGTCTGAGCCAGATAGGGATGTGAGTCCCCTGTTCCAGTGAGAAATGGTGGCTCTGAAACCGTAAAATATATCCTAAGTCCAACCCACTGACATTAACCAGCCACTTTTAGCATTAGCTGTAAAGACTGGCTTAATGTGAAATCTTAAAAGAAGAAACGGAAACTGCGGCGTGGCTCTCACTAAATTAACCCCACCCGAGGCGCAGAATCATGGTCCTGGAGGGCCACGCAGCGTCCGTCTAAGTCATGGGCAGCACCTGATGAGATTTAGAGACCGACCTCAGCCTGAGTGATCACCTGTGATGTAAAATTGGCACAGAGAGGGCCTTGGTGCGTGCGCCTGGAGGCTTGACCTTTGCCCTGTGACCCCCAACTGCAGCAACCCCTTGGTGGCAGACAGGGGCACCGCGAATCACTCTCACCGCACATGTCTTGTGCTCCTTGCAGGTGTTGAGGCCCCAAATCAGGTGAGGCCCGACTCCCCCAGCCATCCACCATGGTGGTGGCACACCCCACCGCCGCCACCACCACCACACCTGCCGCCACTGTTACAGCCACCGTTGTGATGACCACGGCCACCATGGACCTGCGGGACTGGCTGTTCCTCTGCTACGGGCTTATCGCCTTCCTGACGGAGGTCATCGACAGCACCACCTGCCCTTCAGTGTGCCGCTGCGACAACGGCTTCATCTACTGCAACGACCGGGGACTCACCTCCATCCCCGCCGACATTCCTGACGATGCCACCACCCTGTATCTGCAGAACAACCAGATCAACAATGCTGGCATCCCCCAGGACCTCAAGACCAAGGTCAACGTGCAGGTCATCTACCTGTACGAGAACGACCTGGACGAGTTCCCTGTCAACCTGCCCCGCTCCCTGCGGGAGCTGCACCTACAAGACAACAACGTGCGGGCCATTGCCAGGGACTCGCTGGCCCGCGTCCCGCTGCTGGAGAAGCTGCACCTGGATGACAACTCCGTGTCCACCGTCAGCATCGAGGAGGATGCCTTCGCCGACAGCAGGCGGCTCAAGCTGCTCTTCCTCAGCCGGAACCACCTGAGCAGCATCCCCTCGGGCCTGCCCCGCACGCTGGAGGAGCTGCGGCTGGATGACAACCGCATCTCCACCATCCCACTGCACGCCTTCAAGGGCCTGGACAGCCTGAGGCGCCTGGTGCTGGACGGCAACCTGCTGGCAAACCCGCGCATTGCCGACGACACCTTCAGCCGCCTGCACAACCTCACCGAGCTCTCGCTGGTGCGCAATTCACTGGCCGCCCCGCCCCTCAACCTGCCCAGCGCCCACCTGCAAAAGCTCTATCTGCAGGACAACGCCATCAGCCACATCCCCTACAACACGCTGGCCAAGATGCATGAGCTGGAGCGCCTGGACCTGTCCAACAACAACCTCACCACGCTGCCCCGCGGCCTGTTCGATGACCTGGAGAACCTGGCCCAGCTGCTGCTGCGGAACAACCCCTGGTTCTGTGGTTGTAACCTCGTGTGGCTGCGGGACTGGGTGAAGGCGAGGGCGGCCGTAGTCAACGTCCGAGGCCTCATGTGCCAGGGCCCCGAGAAGGTCCGGGGCATGGCCATCAAGGACATCACCAGTGAGATGGACGAGTGCTTCGACACCGGGTCGCAGGGCAGGGCGGCCAACACCGCCGCCAAGACCACGGCCGGCAACCATGCCTCTGCCACCACACCCCAGGGTTCACTCTTCACCCTCAAGGCCAAGAGGCCAGGGCTGCGCCTCCCTGACTCCAACCTTGACTACCCCATGGCCACGGGTGATGGCGCCAAGACCCTGGTTATCCACGTGAAGCCCCTGACGGCAGACTCCATCCACATCACATGGAAGGCCACACTCCCTGCCTCCTCCTTCCGGCTTAGCTGGCTGCGCCTGGGCCACAGCCCGGCCGTGGGCTCCATCACAGAGACCCTGGTGCAAGGGGACAAGACAGAGTACCTGCTGACGGCCCTGGAGCCCAAGTCCACCTATATCATCTGCATGGTCACCATGGAGACTGGCAATACCTACATGGCTGACGAGACACCCGTGTGTGCCAAGGCGGAGACAGCAGACAGCTATGGCCCCACCACCACGCTCAACCAGGAGCAGAATGCCAACCCCATGGCCGGCCTGCCCCTGGCAGGCATCATCGGTGGTGCCGTGGCCCTCGTCTTCCTCTTCCTGGTCCTGGGGGCCATCTGCTGGTATGTGCACCGAGCCAGCGAGCTGCTGACCCGGGAGCGGGCTTATAACCGGGGCAGTCGGAAAAAGGATGACTATATGGAGTCGGGGACCAAAAAGGATAATTCCATCCTGGAAATCCGAGGCCCGGGGCTGCAAATGCTGCCCATTAACCCTTACGGCGCCAAAGAGGAGTACGTGGTCCACACCATCTTCCCCTCCAACGGCAGCAGCCTCTGCAAGGGCACACACACCATCGGCTACGGCACCACCCGGGGCTACCGCGATGGCGGCATCCCCGACATAGACTATTCCTACACATGATGGGCCTGGTATGCCCGCCCCTGCTTCCGCTTCCTCCTGATGTGGCAACCCTATGGCTTTGCCCAGCCTGCTGCCACCCAACAGAGCAAGGAAAAGAAACTCCACGATGACATTCCCAGCAAAAAGCAGTTTGGGGAGGGTTGACAATTTTCTAGAACACAACAGTGAAAAAAATTTTTTTTAAAGAATAGAAGGCAGGAGGGGTATTTGACGTTGCTGAAGACATAATTTATACCAAATTATGCCAGTTGGGGAGGGAAGAACTAAAAATAATAACGAAGGAAGGGTTGGGTCGGGCTTTTTTTCTCCTGAACTGGAAAGATACTTACTACCTGTACAATGTCTGTGTACGCCTCGCGCTCTGTTCAGGGCCGTCATAAAAGGACCGTCAGAGAGAAGCAGCTGATACGTGAAGCCCCCACGCAGCTCTCACTGCCGCCTGCTCGCTGGCAAAGACGTGACAGAAGATTTTCAGGCTCCTCACAAAGGAGAGGGGGAAGAAAAGATCTTTTGCTATGGAGATATTGTCCTGAAATCTCTTCCCTGGTTCTTTCCATACCATTTCCCTTCCAGATTTTCAGAAATATTACGTCTTTCACTGCAGTCTTTGAACAATAATATAGCCAATTAAAAAACAAACATTCTTTTCCCCATACTGAGACCCTCTTCAATTCCATGCACCATACTCTGTGGAAGCCCCATGGAAGCTGTGGCTTTCCCGGCCACTTGGAGATGCATCTATCTACTGTCTGTCTATGTCGTGTCTCTAAATACAGACCGGTAGATAGAGCCACACAGATGGTCCTTACAGTACCTCTTGGGTCAGTCAGTTCACACAATTTCCTGAGACAGTAGAGTTGCGAAAACGTTGTTTTCTCCTAGCAATCACTGAGTAAGTAGACATAGTGTGTTGGGGATGGGAGTGGGGTGGGGACAATGCTGTTCTTAAAGGTGGAGGTGTGTCTGTCCTGGACAGGTGGCTGGGGGGACCCTGGGCAAGGGGTGCTTTCAGTTTGATCCTTTCTCAGGTTGGCCAGAGCTGGGCCACACTCCTTTCTGATATAGAGAAACTTGCTTTGATGGCCAGTGTCCTCATCTCCCCACCCTCCCCCACATGCAGTCACTCAGTAGCGACTTTCTCTTTGCTCTGTGCTGCCTCTTGGGACAGGTATTTGGCACAGGGTTGGGTTTTGGGTTTTGTTTTTGTTTTTTTTTATCAGCTGATTAGACCTAATGGTTTCCATGGCTGCTTAAAGTGCAGAAAGAGACATGAAAATTCTGAGAAAAGCCCTGGGAGCTAGCACCCCCAAAATACAGACCACTCAGCCGTGCCCACCCCTGGGTGGGTCTGGAGATGGAAGCCCAGATCGCCCTCTAAACATGCCAGCCTCCAAAAGGGTACTGACCGGGGCCCTCAGAAGAGTTAAGATTTTATTTCCTCCCTCTGGAATCAACGTTGCCATCATTTATCAACTGACAGTGCAGTGTGGTGAGCCATGAGATTAAAACGATGATGAAATAATGACAGCAAATCTGGAAAGAAGAGAGGAGTGGTGCCTGGGGTTCGGGTATCTCCTGTGTCCCAGCACTCGGGGAACTCAGGTCACCATCCATCAACATGCCACCTGTCCTGCACCGAGGAAGAGCAATGTCAAAGGAGAGACGCTGGCCTGAGGGCAGGGAGGATGAGGAGTCCAAATCCTGGCGGCAGTGTTTTTCAAAAGGCCTCAACTGCTTTGACAAAAGCCAAAGGCGGGAGGACGAGACTGAACAGCAGTCACAGGGCTGCCATGACAGGCCCAGGGGCTGGCCACCCAGCGGATATGAAAAGATGCAACTGGCAACCTTCAGTGAATGGGGGGGTTTGAAAGAAATGGACACAACAGCTGCATGAGAGATGTGGAGAAGAGTCACGGGCTCTCCATGGCCTGGCCAGAGGGACTCCCAACTCTCGAGCCCCAGGGAGAGGCCGAGGGGCATGGACATATTTCATTCTAAAACAAGCCTTTTTTTCCCTTTTCCCACTTAAATCATTTTCTTGTACAGTGAGATCAGGAGAGAAATTTTTCCAAGCCTTAATTTCACGTCTGTATAAAGACGGCCCTCCCTTTGGCCTGCAGTGGCCCCAGACACAGGCCCGTTCCCCCGCAGCTCAGGAAGGAGGAGAGGGTGCACCAGGGTGTGGAGCCTTGGCCGGGGGACAGAAGTCCAAGGTCTCTGCTGCTTCTGAAATGAGGTCCCCTCCCTCAAGGCACCACTCCTGCCTTCTGCCAGTGTCCCAGGAAAATCAGTCCCTGGCCACTCCACTACTAGCCCCAAAGTCCCCACTGCCAACATGCTCAGTTCCCCATCTCACTATAGATCCTCCTTTCTCCATGACAGGCAGAGGTCAGATCATCCCCTTCCAGGCTAAGAAGGCATTTGAGGAACAGCAGGTGGCCCAGTGCAGTGAGGGCTGTGGGGGAGGGCCTTGCCAACAGAGCCCTCCAAGACCAGGCCTAGCGATGAACTTGCCTCCCCCAGAGCACAAAGCAGGCCCAGGCCTGGCTGGGCCTGAGGACACCGTGGGTCACCTGCTCCCGGCTCTTGCACTAACTGAGCTCAGGCAGGGCTCACAAGGGGTTACAGAGCCAAGCCCTGCCCACCTCACCACAGGCATCGTCCCACCCATGTAGGCACAGAAGACAGTGGAAACTCAGCCCAGCTAGGGTCCCGGACCTGCTCTCACCTTTTCTTCCCTAAGCATCCCGACATCTTCCCAGCATCCTTTCTGAGAGCAGGCTCCCAAATGTCTGCGATCTCTACATCCCTGCCAAGCCAAGAAGTGGGCCTAAAGTCAGGTCCACTCTGAAACCCCGTCCCCTCCTGGCCCAACTCCTCCGAGCTGGCCCCAGAACACAAGGAGGAAGGTGATGTTTCAGGGTACCCAGCCTCCCCCACCCCTGGACTCGTGTGAGGGCACAGGGCCCACGAGGACAAGTCCAGGGCCTGGGCCACCACTTCTGTCAAGAATCTCCCTTTTGTGGGTGGCCATCCTGACCCTTGCAGCCTCTAACTAGTCAGAACAACCTCGTTGGCCTCAGCGTTGATGAGCGTATTTTGCAGCATTTAAGGCAGATTTAAAGTTGTTGTTTTTTTAAAGCCCATGATAGGTCTTTGGTTAAGTGGTTTACCCTTCGTGGTAATTAGATGTAGTGATTGGGATCTCTTTTCTATTACATGGCAATTTTCCTTTAAATTTCCTCTTGAAAAAAAAAAAAAGGAAAGAGAAAGCAAGGAAGGAGGGAAGGCGGCAGGGCCAGGCGAGTCATTTGCATTTTGCGAATGAGGCCTCTTGTAAGCTCAGCTCAGGCGTGGGGCCCAATGTATGGAATGCTTAAGAGATTACTAAGAATAAAATCTATTAATTAGTCATACTCAATTCCACAGACATGATGTGCATCAAAAGCTTCTTTTCTTCCCTTTTCTCCTTCCCGCTTCCTGTGGCCTCCCGCGGAAGCCTCCATCTTCTCCTGTAAATTGGCTCCAGCTTTCTGGACCGCCTCCATGGTAACATGGCGCCCAGTGGCTGACTAGGGGGCCTCCCACCCAGGCCGGGATGCTGGGTTTGGGGGCAGGAACTGGGACACTGGCTTCTTCCCACTCTGGGTGATGCTACCAGGGGAGGTGACAGCAGCTGGGAAGATGGCAGTGGCAGAGGGGGACCAGGCTTTCCCTAAAGGCCATGCCTGCCTTGTGCCTCCTCTCCCTCCCCCCTTGAGAGGTACAGGGAGGCTCACCAGCCCCACCAAGGAGAGGCTGAGGCCAGGCAGAGAGTGAAGAAGGGCCACGGAGCGTTCCCAGACGAATGCAGGAAAAGCGCGTTTTGCGAATCCATGGTCTCTGTTCACCCTTCTGTAAAGTAGGGGTGGGCTGACGCAGGGTTTAGCTTTACCCAGAAAAGCTGGGTGCTCCAGAGGCCAAGTCGGGGCTCCTCCCTCTACTGATTCTGGAACATTCTAGTTGGTCCAACGCAGGTGACAGAGGGACAGGACAGGTGAGGGATCCCTGTGGGATCTGAGCGGGCTGACTGGGGCCTGAAGAAGGGGCTGGCAGCATGCCCGGGACTGCATCTGAGCCTCCCTCCTTCATCCTGGGAGCCAGGGAGCGAGGGGAGGACACTACCACCCCTGACAATGGCAGCTCAAGTCCCAAAGCTAGTCCTCTCGACTCCAGAAAACTGCAACCTGCTGAACGCACCAGGGAGGAGGACGGGGCCTCTGAAGCGCGTGCTTATGAAAAGTACCAGGAAACTTGGACGCAGCGGGCAGGGAGAGACGGAGCTGTGGGCATCTGCTGGGAGGGGGGCCTGCGCCCCCCAAGGACCAGACCTCCTCTTAGGGCCAGGGCCCGGGCAACATCCCCTCCTGCACGCAAATCAGCGCAGGTGATGGGCGGCAAACGCCTGGGGCTGGACTGGCGCCGGGTTGGGCGCTAACAAGCAATTCGCAGCCCTTCCAGAATGCAGACAGAGGAGACATCTTTTTTCCTAAGGAGGGATAAAAAGGCTCAAAAATGCAAATCATTACCGTTTACAACCAAGCGAGTCTGCTAAATTGATTAGGAGAGATTAAACTCCTTGGAAGTGAAGGGAAAGGGGGATATTTCAAGTTTTATGAACCTGCCCCCAGTGGCCGTGTACAAAGCACACAGATTTTCCAGGCCTGGCTCAGGGGCTGCCCTTTTGCAGCTCCCAGGGTAGCTGGTCTGTGAGGGCTGACACCACACAGGCCAGAGCACTCGGGATACACTGGGCCTGATGCGAGCACACTGCCCTTGGGGAGAACAGTTCTGCCTCGAGCGAGGGGCTTGTGCTTGGGACTCCGGGACAGGGCAGGTTACTGGTCCACACAGGTCATTCAGCCCCCAGCCCCCAGCAGAGACCCTATTGTTGCCCTCCAGATTCCATCTGCCTTCAAGGGTCAAAAGTGAGGGGAAGTGGCCGGTCTAGTCACTTAGAGCAGGACTCTAGAGCCATGAGCTTTTCTGCTTCCTTTCTGTTCCAGGGTCAGTCTGTCTCTGATCCATTCCCTGCCGTCAGTCAAAGAGGGAGGGGGTCAACTGTGAAGGGAAAACTGAAGGTCAGGAAAGAGAAACTCTGGCCCAGAAAAGGAATCAGACAATGAGCTTTCTGTCACTAGGAGCATTCAAGCACTTGATAGGGATAGGGCAGATATTTTCCAGCAGAAGCCAAGACCTGGTTCTTTGATTAGAAGATCCAGGTTCCCACCCTTTATCATTCCCCAGGACCCTATAAAAGAAAGATATCAAGAGATGGTCACTGTGCTGCTCCAAATGACCCGTGTCCCCTGAAAATCCCAGGTTAGGGCCGTCCCACAGCCAGGCCAACCAGCCTTATCAAACTGCTGCTTGTGCCACCAGAGGTGCTGCAAAATTCCCATCCTCAATGTCCACAAGGCATGGAGAGCGAAGTGCACGCATGTACCGCTCCATCCCGGAGTCCAGACATGGACTTGGGCTGGCTTGCCAGAGGCCACTAGGGGGACACCTCCAGGGCCTGGGGCTCTGGGTCCCCGGCTGCCTCCTGGACCTGCTGTAGGTTCCAGGGCCCCTGCCCACCCTGCTCCGTCGTCCCACCAGCCTTTTTCCCAATTCAACACACTTGATGCTGGCAGCTCAATGCATCCGTCCCAGCCAGGTTGATGGCTGCCTGGGGCACTGTTCACTCTGCCTTTTTAAGCATTTGCCATTTCTTTTGAAATGTTCCAAGTACTTGCCTGAAAAATCCACATTTGCTTCTTTAAAAACACTCAAAGGAAGATTCCCCAGGCTCTTGATTCCTCCTCCCTCTACTTTCCCTTCTCCCTTTGCATTTTTAATACATTGTTTTTCTCTGGTTTTGTAAATTCCATTATCGCTTGGATCGGGCCCACTTTCTCACCATAAATGGGATTTGCAGGTATGCTCGGACCCCCGAGGCCATAGGGGCAAAGTGTCTTTTTTCCCATCACGCACAGGGCGGATCTTCAGCCTGGCGCAGCTCCTGCCCTGCTCGCCCCTGGACCACAGTCACCCCCCTTTACCCCTTGTTATTGAAGTGCCCGGCTTATGCAAGGAAGGCAATGTGGGCAAACTGAAGGCACAGGGTGCCCTGTGGGGGGCTCACCTGGACGCTACTTCCTAGCAAAGCCAGCCCTTGAGGCTCTGTGGGCACCAGGGCCACCAGGGTGCTCTGGCTCCTGTCCTTCCCACACCCACCAACACTGCCCTCCACACCTGAAAGCCCAAAAGGCTGAACCTGGAGAGCCCTTGCAGGAAGGTCTTCGCTGTCACTTCCCCTAAATCTCTTCTACAGCTATCAGGATGGACAGCCTCTTGGGGCAAGATGACAGGTCCCCGGGTCACCGAGCCCAGCACAGCACTTGGCACACGGGTGCACAATCCTCTCTTCTCCAGCCCTCCTCTCGCTTCCTTATCCTCCCTGCTGGCTGTCTGCCCCTGCGGGCTCAGTGCAAAGGGCCCAGGCAGGTGTTGTCAACGGCCTTCCTCCCGTCCTGCACCTGCTCCGCTGGCAGCCTGGCCCGGGGAGGGGCTCCTCACAGCGCTTCCTCTCTGAAGCATCTCACTTGGCTCTCTCTCCCTTGGACCCACCGATCACCAGCTGTGAGCTTGATGGGGAAATCCAGCCACTCGGCGAGATCCAGTGGCTGGCCTGGGGGACTCAGTTTCCCCTCTCCAAGCAAAGCCTCAGATGGGCGACAAAGAGGTCAGAGAACTGAGTGTCCTGCCTTGTCTGACCCTCCCGTCAAGAGTCCCCACACCCGGAGCCACCCACCTAGAGGAACTAACCAGGCTTTCTTCTCAAGACAGAGAAAAACAAATGCAACATGAACCGACAATCAAAGCACGGTGGACACGAGCTGCCACACACTCATCTCCCTGGAGCTGGGCGGTCCAGGGTACCTCTCACCTGTCCTGTTCAGAGGACAGGCTTGCAGAGTGTCCCAGAGACCACCCACCTCTGTCAGGTCTGGTTTTTGAAAGGTTCTGGGTACCCCAGTGGAAGACGCAAAACCCTGAAACTAGACTTAGCTTTTTTCACCCCACCCAACACATCACCTGCCAACAGGCCCGCGGCCACACGAAGAAGCCCACCCAGCATCCAGGGCCCGGCGCCAGGCTGCAGTGTGGGGGGTTTCTTTGGACAGAGGACCCTGGTGCCTTCCAGCTCACAGAGGTGCTGAGAGCCATGGGGAGCAATCGGGACAGCCCAGCATTTGAGGTTTGTCATCCGAGAGGGAGAGAAGTGGAGAGAGAGGTGGTGGTGAAGGTTGGGAGAGGCTACAGGCTGTGAACACAGGCGAGCCAGAGACGGGGTGCAGTTGTGTGATTCTGCAGGCTAAAGCCGACGCCTGCTAAATATGAGTGTCGCCAGGCAGGTGTGAACGGGGAGGCACTGGGAAAAAGTATAAACTCAAAGAAACTCCACACATAAGCAGAGTGAATGTTTTTTAAGAGCCACCAACAGCAGCAGCCTTTCCTGACGGTGGAGGTTGTTTGTATCGCGTTTGGTATTGTGAAGCACTGGAGTCACAGGTGCTTTGTTCAGTACAATCCGTTCCCGGTGAGCTGAGGAGGAGGAAGCCTGGGAGGGGTCCTCAGCCAGACCCTGGGGAAGGGGTGGGTCCCTTTGCTACAGAAGGCGGGATGCTCGGCCAGCCGATGTCACGAGGAGCACAGGCCCCGTCTCTCGCAAGCCTATGATCAAGGTCCCTTCCGCCATCTGAGGGGCCCCCGCCCTGGCACCACCACCTTCCCCTGAGCCCCTGCCCTTCCTCACCTGTAGAATCAGCCCCATGGGGCCACTCGGCCGCATGCTCCTTGTCTTTTTTCCTTTTTCTCTGAAGGGCAAAGCAATCTCGGGGGTCTGAGGGATGGGACCTCTCCCACTGCTGCCTGCTGCCGTCCGAGACCCAGCTGGCCGACCCGGCCTGGCTCCAGGCCCACCTGCCTCACTCCCAACCTCACCACTAGATAGGGGTCTTTGGAAAACGAAACACATAAACACCCACCATGACGACAACACAAACCAAAGTGCACTGAGAACCACCCTCGGCCTCCTTCTTGTAGGTGCCTTGAAACTTCAATGTTGAGATGAATGTGATGAACTATTTGGTCCTATTTTTTGTTTGTCTGTTTTCATATAAAATGTCCAAGTCCACGTTCCTTGTCCTTTCTTGAAATAAATAGATTTAACTTTTACAGTCATCTTGCTGCTGACTCTTGGCTTGGGGCCCAGCATACCAGGGGCCAGGTATCTGTCGCACACATGGTCTCAGCCACCTACACCCCATGCCCAGGCCTCACTCCTGAGGGGCAGCTCTGCTGTCGGGTCCACTGGCCCAGAGGTGGCACGGGGCGGGGGGGGGGGACAAGACCCTGAGTTAATAAGTTCCTCAGGGCACCCGCCATCAGAACCAAAATAATGATTCTGCTCCAAGACAGAGAGGGACCTCTGGCCCCATCCCACAGGCCCCAAGAAAGGCGGACCGCCAGCTAAAGGCAATCTCTGAGAGGGTCTCCACGTGGAGACGCACTAATAGAAGCTTGGATTATCCCATAAGAGGCCCGGACACACATGTGGTCACTCAGATAAGACTGGAGCTGTACAGGTGTTGGGGACACGTGCTATTCCTCCGCCCGGTGAACGCTTGCCTGGGTTCCCCCCGCTAGATGCCCCTCGTCCCCTAGTTGAATTCTCAATTCCTTAGGCCTTATCTGATATCTCAGATAAGGAAAAAAATCATTCTCCATGAGAACAATAGCAGTTTCTACTAAATTTAACATAAAATAAGAACTCATTACTTCTGTCTTAGATCTGATTTCATGTCTGGAACAGGTTAATGAGTTTTTCCTTATAGTCCAAGGAAGCAAAGTTATTTCTCACGTGCCTTGGTGGCGGTGGCCTGGCTGGGGTGATGCAGGGTGCTTTGACCCCACAGGCGCCCCTCTCTCCCCTTACCTTCTCTCATCCTCATCGCCCGTCCCCTGGGGGCAGGAGCCAGCCCAGAGGGACCATTCTAAACAGCAGAGCATGAGGTGATCCCCCCAGAGGGCCCAGCGCACAGTGGGTGCTCAGGAGGGCTGCCCCACTCTTCCTCTCCTGAGACCCTTTCACTGGGGCTGCCAAGGGATCTTTCAAGAACACAGTTATCCAGCCAGTCAGTAGGTGTTTACCAGGGCCTACTATGTGCTGGGGCTGGGGCTGAGGCATCCTTCCTGCCTCATGGAAGGAGAGATAGGGGCCCCGCCTTAGTTGGGGGTGAGGAGGACTTGGAGAGCAAGGCAGCATCCAGCACATCGCCCATCAGAGCTCTGAGGCAGGGCAGAAAGGCAAGTCTGCTTCTGCGCCTCCCTGTGGAAGGCACCGCTCACCCAGTAGGCACAGGACCCATCCACTGGCCCAGCCTCCCGCCACACCACCACAGGCCCTTCCAGCTGACCTCCCAGCCTGATGCCCTTGAAGGTTCAACTCAGGCCTCACATCTGGAGAGGCTGCCCCTCCTATCCCACACCTCTGCTGGCTTCTCACCTGTGCAGGTGACTAGTTCCAGTGCCTCACTCCCTGGGGGCCCCTTATTGGCAGGTCTCACCTTCCACCCTTTCAGATCCCCAGGGAGCACCAGCCTAGCACAGAGGAGGCACCTATAAACGCGAACTGGAGTGAGTCAATAAACACCATTAAGTTGATCAACCAGCACATGGATTGATCAATGTTGAGTCCAAGGAGAATGACTTTCTAGGAGCCACAGCCCTTGGCAGCCCCAGCGTCACAGTAATGGTGCCTCTCTTCTCCCCTCACCCTTTCCTGAGGGCAGGGAGGCTAGGGGGCGGGGGAGAGGCGCAGACAGGCCTGCCCCCAGCTCGCCTCACCCTCCACATACTGGCAGCAGTGCGCAAACCAGGGCGTCCCCGGGGCAGGAGGACTGGGTTCCCAAACTGTGTGCCTCAGCTCCTAGAACTAATAGAGGTTCTGCCAGGAAGGGTTCACAGTCACACGCATTTGGGAACCACTGGATTAATGCCATTGCTGTCCTGGAGGGCTCCACAGGCGAGGCCTTGGAGTCCCTCGAAGCTAGGTTAGACCCACGGGCTCCGGCACTTACTCCCTGTGCCTCGGCTTCCACCGCTGTATAACGCATGCATAGTAAGAGCGCATTGCTCTTATGAGGTCTGACAATTAAGTTAGCGAACTCATCCCAGAAAAAGTGCTACCTACCTCATTAAATATCACTACGGTCACCTTCAAAGTCCTCCCCATGGGAAGCAATGCACCAATGCCAGCGCCTAGTCCACCCTTCAAAGCAATTTTGGAACTCTTTCTGGAATGGCCATCAGAGCTGTTGTCGTATTATCCTTGATGTCCTGAATGTCATCAAACTGTCTTCCTTTTAATAGTTCCTTTATCTTCAGGTATAGAAAGAAGTTACTGGGGAGCCAGATCAGGTCAGTAGAGAGAGTGTTCCAATACAGTTACTTGTTTACTGGCTAAAAACTCCCTCGCAGACAGTGCTGTGGGAGCTGGTGCATTGTCATAATGCAAGAGCCATGAATTGGCAAAAAGTTCAGGTCGTTTTCGTCTTTTTCACGCAGCCTTTTCAGCACTTCCAAATAGTAAACTTGGTTAACTGTTTGTCCAGTGGGTACAAATTCATAATGAATAATCCCTCATATCAAAAAAAGGTTAGCAACATCGTTGCAACAAGTTTGCAAACTTGTCAGATCTCGTTCTGACAATTGTTCTATCATCATGATAACACCGAGACTGCTAACATGTGCTAGGTTTTCAAGAAGGATATGCAAGGCTGAGTTTCCCTCCACTCGTCCAGGGAGTGTAGGCCCCCATCCCTGCTCACCCAGTATCCCTGGTCCTCGGGCATGGTGGCAAGTGCTGAGCTGGCCGGCATTTCTTACAAGGAGGCCCAAGGGTCTCAGCAGAACCCTCAGGACAGGGCAGCAAAGTGCCCCCAGGTCTAGCACAGAGAAGAGAAGAGGTGTCTTGCGGGGCTGGGGCCTATTCCCCAAACCACCCTGGACCACATCCAAGGTCTGTGGCCTGCTCTCTCCAAAACCTGCCAGAGAGGATCACAGGCTGACCTAAGCTTCCAGTTTCAGGAGGACAGGGGGTGGGAGGGGGGCATCTTAGGTTTTAATAAGTGCCCCAGGGGAGCTGAAGGCCCAGACAGGGTTGGGCCACACGAGAGGGACTCACCAGAACCCCTGGGGGAGTTTCCAGGATCTGTATTTCAGGTCAGTGGAAATAAGACACTCCAAACCTAACTGACCCTGTCTGAAAAGAAGTAGGTGGCTGAGAGGTAGTAAGTCCCACCCCACCCTCACAGGATTGCAAATAGAACGGGCCAGTCCCTCAAGGGCACATGAGTTCTGCGAGGTGGAAGGAAACGAATGAACCTGAAGTGCCTCCGTCTCCCAACCATGTCTTCAGATGGACCCCAGGAGATGGGTGGTGTCCCCGCAAATCTGGGACCCTCCCTGCTGCAGCTCCTGCTGTGCTGTACTCCAGCCAAGCAGCTTCTGACCCTTTCCTTCCCAAAGAAATCTCAGGCCTTGCATGTCACTGTGGTTATGGACAGGTGTGGGGCAAGACCCCAAATGGCTGCCCTGCAGCCAACAGGCTCTCTAAAGCCCAGGGCCCCTGTTTCTTCTATTCAACTCTGCCTGTTTGGTCAGAGTCAGGACTAAAAGTTCCAGTTCAAGTGGGAGAAAGAGGGGTGGCCGCTACCCCGCGTACTTATCCCCTACTCTTACCTGGCAACTGCCAGTTTCCAGAAGCTTCCTTTCCCTTTCCCCCACTTCCCAGGAGGGGTCTCTGGCTTCACCAAGCATCCTAGAGAAGAGGCGATCAAATCTGGGAAGGTTCTAATACCCCAAAACGCAACCCCCCAAATTCTGTGGCCTGTTCTTAGCACTCAGCCTAGGAGGTCCCAGAAGGATCTGAGGTCACCCAGCCAGCCCTAACGGCTGCCTCGGTAGGTCTGGGTGGAACTTGCTCATCTACTTTCAGGTACCCCAAACCCAATGTGCTCCCGGCCCCACTGGCTGTCTCCCCTTCCCTCCTCCACACCCCTCATCCTCTTGTCAGCACCTGCTTTCCCACTGCCCGCTGCCCCCATGTCAGGCACCTCTGAAGGACCCTCCCCTACAGCACGGCTCAGTAAATAGGCTCTCTTGAGCCGCTAACTGACAGCACAAATGAAATCCCGGTGCTCCTCCCTCAGAGATTTACAGGGGAAGTGAAATCTTATTTGCACTGCTGCCAAGCCTGGGACGCGATGAAATTATGCCTCGAGAAGAGACCCGGCCGGCTTCTCGCGGAAGCGGATGCATCGGAGATGGGCTTATTAAAAGCCACAGTGGCCACATTTCAACCTGTTTCAGGTGTTAAGTAATTTACTGCCACCCAGGATTCAGTGGTAGGTTTTTATCATTTTTATTTCCACGATGCAGGCGAGTGCCCCCAAGAGGTCCCTGCATGGGGAACTGCAAGTCTAAATGCTCCCTGCCCCCCAGCACTGCAGAGGGAAGAGGAGTAGGAGGGAGTGAGGATGGGGGCCGGAGTGGCAGCAGATGGCCCTGCTCTCCCTAGGGTTACACCAGGCTTGGCCACAGCCCAAAATGACAGGGAGGGTAGGTTCTAAGGCCTCCCACCCCGTATTTGGGGGACCAGCGATCCCCCCAAGACTCTGTGTGTGTTTCCCAAAGGCAGAAATAGTTTGAGCTCTGTGAAAGCTGAGACTATCTCTGTCTCAGGACCTGACTGCCAACCATAGGATCAACAAGTCTTTATTGAGCACCTACTATGTGCCAGGCCCTGCCCAGATGGGGGACACAGCAGTGAATGGGGACCCCAAAGATCCCTGCCCTACGGAGCTCACATTGTGCTTTTAAGTGTTGAATAAATATTTGTGGTTGGTTGATTAAAATCTCTGAGAGGCAAACCAGCTCTTGAAAGAAAAGACGCTGACATAGGAGGCACCCGGTGGAGGAGGGTGTGGAGGGGGCAGGGGGTGGTGGTGACAACTCACTTCATTGAGCAGCTGCTCCATGCCAGTCACTGTAGCAGCCCTCGAAGCAGGAACCTCCCCATATCACAGACGAGAAGGCACAGAGTTTCTGGGTGCCAGTACCCAGTGCCTTTTGTTGCTCTGGAGAAGGTGTGGTAAGCGGCCCAGGCTCTGTCTTTCCCC